GAACGTACAACGGACAAACTTGGCCCCTTTGTCTAAGGAGGATACAATATTGTGATGAAACACAACAGCAGCGTCCAAAGTACTTCTACCCTGTTTGTAAGCAAACTGCTTTGAATCGTTTGAGAAACTTAGGGAGGGAACAAGTTTTAGTAACAATAGTTTCTCCATTAGTTTCAAAAGAGGAGAGGTAATAGCGATAGGTCTAAACTTAGCATTATTTCCAGAGCCTGACTTGGGGACAGGGATGATTTTAATATTTTTCCACAGAGAAGGTACAACATTATTAGAAAAAGAAGTATTAAAAATGTTTGTAAGTGGGTTGCTTAAAATATCAGCACATTTCCTTAGGACAATGGCAGGTATACCATCAGGACCTAGACTCTGGGAAGGTTTAAGAGATTTTAAACATTTAAGAACGTCAGAAGTGTTAAAACTATTGAAGCCACTGGTCATGTTATTTGTTACATTGAAGCTAAGAGGTACATTGGGAAGGCGGATAAAAGATCTATTAAGAGTATTTACATCAATAAAGGGAGCACAAGAACTATGCTTACCACAACCTGTAATTTCTTTGAAAAGCTTCCACATGTTCCCAGGAGTTTTACATGACAAAATTCTTTGATTATAAATATTGTTTAACCTCTTGATTTCGGATATAATTTGGTTTAGGGCCGGTTAATTCACGAAGTGCAGCTTCCGTATATTAAAATAACAATTAATGCAAACTAACGCAATACTTATTCAAAAGGAAGGACAAATTACGATTTTCTTTCCTCATTAAATGGAAACGGAGCACAGAGTATGATCTATTTTTCACTATGTGCTACATTTTGGAAAAAAATATGGTTGTATGAAAATGGATTAGGGTTATGTATTTTGTTATATTTAGGCCAAAATGTGTGTATTATTTCCGAAAATTTTGCACGAGTTAGGAGTTCAGTATTTTCAACTTGCTTGCTAATCTTGATAGTTTTCGCATTAGTATCCACACTGTCGACTACCGTTTTTGGGAGCTGTTCTATCACCATATAGGGAGAATCGTTGTCTAGGCAGGCATATTTAAGTATGACAATGCTAAGACTATCGATGATATTACTTCATTGACTAACAAGGTGTCGTGGGCGCCTTGTCATTACTTTGAATGGTGCCTCGTGTGGTGGATCGAGGAGTGGATCTGTTTTATCACATCTCACCCACACATAGGGACAACTATTCCAGGCTCTTGACTTGTTTACCGCTCTTGAACGTATTCCTGAGGAATCCGCCTTGAGTTGGCTATTCGTAGTCGAAGTCTGGTCAAGTTCCTTCTAATCAGCACTAGAACTGATAAACTGGTTGATATGCTGTGCAGCGAATTCTGTGTGACCCGAGGAAATTCAACAAAGTGCTGAAAAACTATGGCTCGAATTAAGCTCCCCTATTAGTTGTTATTGTCACAACCATCCCGAGTATGGCTACTCAATGCCGAAGAAAGGCCATTCGAGTGGCATACTACAAACAGTAGAAGTTTTCGCGACCTGCCTTGAACAACCGGTGCTCTATGTACAAAAAAGCAAGTCCAGCCACTATCACAGCTCTGGCTTTCAGTGGAGACTAGAAATTCATGAAGAAGTACTATTATGTTTCCTATTTTTGCAATATTTAGTGTATTCAGTGCTGTCAAACCGTAATAAATGGATAATATCAGTGATTATATGTTATTTAAACATTAATATCGTTAATAACACTAGTTCATTCACTTTTATGTATACACAACCGTAGGACCTGATGACGAACTCTTCGAAAAGAATATCCTTTTTTCAGTAACCATTCGTCGAAAAACGTTTGGTGGACAATTTTAATCAGTAATTATTTTGGTTGAAAAGTCGGTTTCTTAATACTCTCACGTACACTTCTGAACGCCGCATTATAAATTAGGTCGGATTTATCTTACTGAGATTATGTAAGCTCTAGCTTTCTCTCCATAACAGGAGAAAATTACCAAGTATGACTCCCCTCTTAATTTTAGGAGAAAAGGGCTCGGGTGGATCTTTCGTTGCATCGCCGCATATCAAGTTGCCATTTATAGGAGATGATAGTTGTTTAAGTTTGAGACTGAAATTATGTGGAGTGGGCATATGCTTTAACTTTTCGTTGTTCCCTTGATTTCAGGCCAGTGCTTTGAAGTATACAGTAGTTCGATACACCATATTCACATGCATTTTAGACAATGCATCAGCCAAACAGTTCTCTGTCCCCTTCAATTATCGCTTGTCACCAATAAACTGTGATATACAATCAAGGAGACGAATTTCACTTGGTGAGTATTTGTTCATTTTCCTATTGAGTGCCTAAGTGAGAACCTTGCGATCTGTATAGATTCTGAACGATCTGGCCTCTATAATCTAGCGAAAAGGCCTAATTTTTGGTAAGATTGCCAGCAGCTCTGTGCCAAAAGCGGAATAGCTCACTTCTGCAGGTTTAACCAAAAAGAGAAGAATGCTTTCGGTTCCAAGCTATTTGTAACAAGCTGGTTTAAAGCTGCTGTCAGCTAGACTAGCAATTTTCAGGATTGTAGCTTTCACCAACGCTTCTTTCAGCTGTGCAGTTACTTCGGATGCCTCTTTTGACAATTGAAACTTATTTGGTTTCCTCCCTAATGCGCAGGTTAGGGACTGCACGTATTGTGCGCAATTAGGTATACAACGTCGACAGAAACTTATCAAGCAGAAAGAAACTCCAGAGTTGCGTGCAAGACGTGTAAGGGGATACTACCCGATGGTATCCGCCTCTCTAGGCATTGGTGAGATTTCGGTATTGCCCTGGAACTCTATAGTTTCTGCCGCAATTCTGGGGATGTCTACTAGTCTGCGTAATACTGCCCGAACGTGATCATCATATATGTTTATAACTAGGCAAGTGATGAGCAGGTCAGTTGTGTACGCTTTGGTGAGAGACGATTCATGAAGCGATTGACACACATATCCCCAGACAGTTTGTACAACATTCCGGGGACCAAATGGCACCCGCACAAACTCATATAGTACGAATGGGGTGGTAATGACTGTTTCAGGTGTATTTCATTTGGCCACAGGAGTATTGGGATAGGCAGGAACGAAGTTAATTTAAGTAAATAATAAGAAACGTGGAAGACTACTAATAAATAGTGGGATGTCAGTTAATAGGTTTCTGTCTGGGATGGTTTCCTTATTTTGTCTCCTTAACCAACAAACGGGTGCAAGTCAGTATGGTTTTCCTTGGGCACCATGTGTATCGGAGAAGCCCATTGACTATTTGAGGCCTAAAAAATCCACGACTGAAGCATTTGGTCAAATTCAGTTTCGGCCATTTCGGCTTGTCCGAGTGCAATCTTCTTGGCTCGACGAAAACTGGGGGCATGTGTCCTTACGTTATGAGTAATTTACATGTTGGTCTTGAAAGTTTGAAGAGAGTTTGCTATCGGAGTTGGGAAATCCGCTAGCTTCTTCCGGAAGCTATCCGTTGATACTGGTGGTAATTTCAGTCGATTCATTGAATGGTGTCTTATTTCGCGATCTATCACGTCTGTCCTGTGTTAGATTTATTCGTCTTATTTGTTACATTAGTGATCCGACATTGGCCACTATTTCTGAGATCATAGGGTGTTCGTTCACATTCATGTGATTCACCCGCCATTTTGTGATGCGTGTGCTCTCCAGCATCTGGTTAGCCATAATGAATAACTGTTCCACAGGGGGTCAGGATTTTGTGAATCCACTGTCTGTTGAACACATTCCTGGCTTGCGTCCAACCCCGCTTCACTACAACCTCTCCAACCATGAGATCGCCTACATGTTGTTTTAGGTGCCTCAAGAACTTTGATGGCTTCCTATTCACCATGTTCTCCCCGTGAAGCAAGTATTTTGTACTTTTTTTCTCACATCAGGAGGCATTTTAACGAATCTTACCCGAGCTCACTAAACTGCTGTTTGTTTTGAGAGGGAAGGTGATGAAGTGCAACGTCACATATAATCTCGCTAATCTCTTGAAGTAGCTGAAGACATTCGTGGCTAATCCTGGTATCCGTAGGTGCAATCCTGCACCGGTCAAAGCAGTGTTTTAGTTGAATGAATCATATTTTCCAGTCATCTCCATCAAATTCAAGCGAACTGGCTACGTTAGTAACGGAAAAACGCTCTTCCGCAGAAGTATGGGATATGACATCGGTCTGTGTTGAGTAAATGGGGCATTATAATGAATAAAATTAAATAGAACTGCGCTTTCGATTCGAAAAGTTCGGTAACAATCGGAAAACAGAAACGAATTGATTTGAGTCTAATTATTTGATACTTCTTCTTCGCTACTTTAACAAGGCAGCCTTTCTTCCAATAAGTGAGTAACCTTATTTTTTCCAAACATTTTACAACGGCTTCGCCAGAATATCGACTGAGGTTTCTGGACTCATTTTTGAGGCTTTTAAGGGGTGCCGTCTAATCCTGCTGTCTTCCCGGATGGCTTTCAGTAACATAATTGCGTTCAATGTTTCCACTTTTTTGGAGGGTTGAAGTTCATGTTCAGTTTTGCAGCTGTTGGTCGTATTTGTGTAGGTGGTGAGTTCAAGAAATTTTGAAGTGAACACCCTATTGATTATTCTGTTCCTCCTATGTGGTAAGTAGGTCCCCTTAACCACTTTACTGATTCTATATCTACTGATCTCTTCTCGGATAAGAGACCTGGATATCTGATAAAGTAATCTGAGGTTTCTTTCCTCTTCAGTCCGTTCTGCTTCAGTCGCCAGTATGTCGCTGCATTGCCTTTTCTCTTCCTTCATACTTTTCTTCATCTCTTTATTCACTGCAATGTGCACTAAACAGAGCCCCTCCTACTGTCATCCGTCTTTGCATTGAAATGTCTCCGGTTTCACCTCCTCCCTCCCATTAGCCTCCAGGTATCCGTCGAAAGCCATTCCTTTCTTGTCTCTTTTTTCTTCCTAGAACAGTTGTACATGTATCCTTGAATATGGTGTTTGATTGTTTAAGTCGAACGGCGCACACAATAACGGTATCGTTACTCTGAAATCAGGTGATGATGCTCCACACACCCAAGAGGTTAAATCACTTCAAGAAGTGCTCTTCGCTTGCTTGCATCTATAACATATGTTCAGAGGCAGCGGGTGGTGATAATATGAATGAATATGATAACAAAGCTCGTTCTTGTGATTCACTGTTCCCAACCACAGCCAGTAATGATAACAAGAACAGAAGTTACAAATGTATTGGGAGAGACGGTGATAATTCTCAGTTAAAATATGGTACGCCAGAACTACGAACAAAATCTTGTCCGACATATGATCAACTGCCAGTAACTTCAAGGTCTTCTGCTCGTTTGAAGTCCAAAAGCCCGTCACACGAATGTCTTGAGGACAAAAGTTCGCCTAATTCCTTGAACGATTGTGAGGGTAGTGACTGTGAAGATATAGCTTTCAAATCACTTTCAAGTCAGATAACATCGGAAAGTTCAGATGATGAAAGCTATCAAGATGAACAATCAGGAGATGAAAACCTTCCTGGTGCTCGAAGACGTCATAACCGGTTCGCAATTGCAGACTGTTCAGATGACTGCTCAGAACGGAGCGTAAATCTTATGCACTCAGTCAGTGATCTCAACAGCTATTCCAGTGATACCGATCAAAGCGATGATAACAATAAGTGTCCTGAAGAGGCGGTTGATGGTATCATGGATGGCGTGAGCCAACTTCAATTAATTGTACGAGAAAATGGTCCATCGCCAAAAAGTAATACTGCTGTGAGTGTAAATTCATCAGTTGTTGAAGCTGATAAAGATAAAGCTAGTCCTGCATTCATACCACGTGCTGGACGTTATTATATGCATGACCACCGTATCTCGAATGAGGATGTTGATGTAGTTAGAAAGCGTCAAACTGACCATCGTTGGCAACATGACAAGTTTAACTATCGTGCCCAGTGTCCGTTATCTACAAAGGAAATTGTATGGAAATATGGGTACAATATTCGAGAAGAAACAGGCCCTTCAAAACCAATTAAAATTGAAGCTGTTGGCAGCGAGCCCTCTAAATCTACAAGCAACATCCCAGTTAATTCTGATAAAAATTGCAATGCTGAGCGTCTTTTGAGCAGTCAGACTTGCGGCAAACAAAACGGAAATAAGCCTGATACCGGTCCTCATTGCGATAAGGTAACAGTCGCTCGCGATAAACGTGTCAAGTTTTCCAACCTTAGGGATAGCAGAAATCGTCGATTTGCAAGAAGTTCTTATTATCGAGGGGACGCTGTGCGCCAACAGAAAGGTATGAATATGGGGATTCCTCAAAATCTGATATCTAGGTCCAAACCGGTCCTTTCAGCAAATCATGCAGTGTCCAAATCTATTGTATTTTCTGATCCTCCCGCTCAAGACAAAAATACAAAACGAATTCAATCACAACCCCCAAAAAGTTCAGAAAATCAAACATCACGAAGCAACTCTCTCCAGGATTCAAGTATCCCATACTCTAGTCGTCCGTGTAACTCGAATGTTCCTAAAAGGAATTTAGAGAATTTATCAAGATCACAAGTTGCAGACTTCGAACGAAGCCGTAGAAAGAAGTTCGCTACTGTGAACTCACTGTATGCAAGTAGCAGTAGTTTGAAACCTCGAACAAAATATAACGCTGACCACATAAATCAACAGGTGAGAACTACTGAAAGAATTCCGAAACGCTACTCAACAGTACGTCAGAATGTTACCAGCGGTAAGTCGTCAGTGGAAAAAAATGAACGCCGATCTAATCCTGAAAACGATGCCCCTACTAAGGAGAGAGATTGTATCAGTAAGGGAACTCACACAGATCGCACAGAGACAGTTATAGAAAACACTAGTGCTGAATCCTCCCATATGCCCAGAGGAACCGCAGAGAACACGAACCAAACCCCAACTGATATGGTTAGTAATACAAGTGTTGCTCAAGGAAAAGTACAATGCGAAGCAGTAAGCTTCCCACTACAATCAGTTCCAGTGACTCACTATCAGCCGACCTTACATTATAGTCAACCTATGCCGGTTCAGTATCCAACCGTAAACCCTCAACTGCGAACAGTTTATTTGTCGGATGTCCTTCAGCATGATGCACACTTCCAGCCTCCGAACCCTATGATATCCAACTATATGCTTCCAAATACTCAGCCTCAAGTCCACAACGTATACGCCAGCCAAATGCAAAATATCAACTTCCCAGTACCAGTAGCGACTACTATTTGTTTTGATGGCGTGCCTTGCGGTATCTCAAGTAAGTATTCTAAACTTAAAATGAATTTAGTGGTTTTCCGTAGTAATTTATTTTTGCACTTAACATACAAAAATAGGTTGATTAATTAATTAATTTAATCAATTGAGATTTTCCCATCGACTGACTAAACCGAAGTCCCTGGTCTCAAGTTGACACGTTGGCTCCTTGTGCAGATGCTATGACGAGAAAATCTAGATTAAAATAAGTAATTGATAGAACCCGTTGTACGACAGGTGCCTCCTGTGGCCCAAGCGGTCTAGTGGGTGATAACGCTTTGGCGTTCGAAACCATGGGCACTGGGTTCGAGCCTCGGTGGGGACACCATCACTCACTGGGGAATGCAAGTAAATCCAGCCCACGAATCCCAAATAGGGCGAAATGTGCATCCTGAACTTCTCACTTAGGCATTGAAGTCGCCTGCTGAAACAACTATATCTGAGCCTTTTGCTTTTTGCAGCAAACTATACAGTTTCTGGTAAAAATCATCCTTTAGTTCATCTAAACTGCAGTTGGTGAGGGTGCAAACGAAGACGGCGATGGGTCACGCCGTCCTTCTTCCCATTCAGACTAACCTCACACATTCGACTATCTCCTGGGATCCAGTCAAGAATTGGTTTTTCTGCCTTAACACACAATGCTATCCCCACACCTGCGAGTCTTCACGAAATGGTTGGGGAGTCTCCTGGCACCTGTCTGTTTTCGACATAGAACTTTGCACATATGTGCGGCAGTTCAAGTCGCCACACCTGGCACCCTTAAGAAGGATCTTGCAGATTCACCTTGTTGGCTGAATGAGGTTAAAAGGATAACCACACTCGGGTCTCCGTAGCTGGGGATGTCCGAGTTCTTGCTAGTGATGCCTGTTGTCCGATTTAGCAGACGCCTCTGACGGTAAATGGTACAATAAAATGTTGGTGGCGTGGCTTTAAGAGGCTATCATCGTTATTTATGGTCACAGAATAAAATGGAGATGACTGCTCAGCCTGCAGAATTCTAGTGACGGTAGTAAGAAAGCAATATGATGAGAGTGACGGATAAAGGAGGAGGATGATCACGATGGCTTCGTGTGCCTTTGGAAGTGTGTGGGCGGTTTTGACTTCCCGGCTGCCCACAGCATGAAGTTTGATTTTTTTTGGGGGGGGGGCAGCTGAAACAGAAAGAGAATTAGTGCTGCGTGACCGCAGAGACTACTGTTTGGGGTGGGCTACACGCGGCCTCTCATAAAATACAGTCTTCTTCTTATTATTGACTTATATCTTTTCTCGTCAGGCAACATTAAGAGAAATCATGTTTTCTGGACTGACCGAGGATCGTTGACAACACACCAATATTATTGATATAAGTATAAAACTTGGGCACTGTGGCAGAGCATAATTCCATTATGGATAAGATTTTATTTTGATAAATCACACAGTGTTATACAGTAATATTAACTGATGACGTTTCGAGCACAAACTATTGCTCATAATCATATCAATTTACTCACACAACTTTTTCCTTCATTTATACACATGTTTGGAATCGATTAGAAATTGGAATAAAAATCAATATGAGATAATGTACATTCAGAAATAATAATACTATGAGTTTTATTGATCAATTACAATCAGATGGGAAATAAGATGAGTGTTTTTTTGATATTCATAATAAGTTACTTGTTAGAATGTTATGATGTGTTTGAATTGAAATAGAATTTGAAAATTATTGATTATCCTCTTCCGATTTGACCGGTGGTAATAATATCTTCCATATTTCTGGTATTTGCATTGAGTCATTTCTGTTGCATGTGTTTGGTGCAGACTCGATGAACAAAGATTCAGTAATCAACCTATCTCTCCAGCTACCTAGATTACTTTTTAGAATCTTAACCCTCTGCCACCCTATGGTGTGGTTGTATGTTAATGCGTGAAATGCAATTGCTAAGCTCTTTTCTAAATTACTTATCTTCTCGGGGTCAACCATTCTTCCCTTAGCTAAATTCTGACAATCTGACTACCCGCAACCTACTAGTTTGCCCTATGTAGTTGACCTCACAGTCATTGCAGGGTATTTTTGTAGGGTCTCAGATTTCCCCTCTTTATATGGTATAACAGTGGTTGACTTATATTCTCTCTTATTTATGTTATCATTACTAGTTTCACGATTATTTTTGCTTTGATTTTGGCCTTTACTGATCTTCCTAATAAATTTTATAGGATAGTTATTCAACATCAACGCTTCTTCTATCTGTTTTATTTCGTCGATTAGGTCTTTTCTTGTGCTACTTGGTGCTATGGCTCGGTTTGTTAGACACTTAACTAAGCCTGCCTTAACAGTTAACAGATGAGACGAATTAAAGTCTAAATATGTATTAGGATGCGTTGGTTTTTCATAAACACTAGTGTGTAGTTTGCCTTCTTCTATTCGTTTTATTTTACAATCTAACATAGCTGATTCTCCTTGTTCATTTTCTGATTCAAATATGAATTTTAATCCTTCTACCTGTGAGTTTAAATGTGTTAAGAAGCTAGAGAAATGTCCTGTTTTTAACACTGTGAAAGTGTCATCCACATATCTCCACTATATTTTTGGAGTAGGATTGAATGTATTGAGGACACTATTTTCCCAGCTGTCCATAACTATGTCTGCAGAAGGAAATGTTTTAGGTATTCAGTTATGCCTCACATCTACTATCTTTAAATTCCAAGGCAAAATATATAGACAAACAGATGGTGTAGCAATGGGATCACCGAAATCCCCTATCGTAGCAAACGTAATAAATAATCTTCAAATTCTATTTCAATTCAAACACATCATAACATTCTAACAAGTAACTTATTATGAATATCAAAACACTCATCTTATTTCCCATCTGATTGTAATTGATCAATAAAACTCATAGTATTATTATTTCTGAATGTACATTATCTCATATTGATTTTTATTCCAATTTCTAATCGATTCCAAACATGTGTATAAATGAAGGAAAAAGTTGTGTGAGTAAATTGATATGATTATGAGCAATAGTTTGTGCTCGAAACGTCATCAGTTAATATTACTGTATAACACTGTGTGATTTATCAAAATAAAATCTTATCCATAATGGAGTACGCTAATATGAATGATATTTTTACTGTGTAATGGTAAGGAGCTGGAAATAAATCCAGCGTAGCACTACTACTGCATTGACATAGCTTAAACACTGTTGACATACAAATCAAGAAGGTGAAATGAGGAAATACCAGAATTTTTCTGCCTGTATACTGAGGGTCAGTTAATAATCCATCGAAAAACTATTACTTATATGCGTTCAGAAGAATTGTAAACAAATGTCTTGATACATTAATTTAAGAGCGTATGTGTATCTGTGTGTTTTTGAATTTAGAACAACACATTTAAGCGAACAATATTGTTTTCAATTAGATCTCATCAGGTTTAACTCTAATATATATAAGTTTACAAATAAAAATTCAAATATAAACCAATCTTGGTGGTGGTTCATTTGTTTTTACTAGCCTTTATCGACTACTTCCACCTGAACAGTTGTTTGTTTAATCATGCTGTTTTTCATTATTCGTGTTATCACAGATTGCCTCACTTTTTTCATCCTCATTATTGATAAGACGACTTTTATTATTACTATTATTATTACTACTATTATGACTAATTGCAGAATTTATATTCACCATCGTATTATCCTATAGACAAAACACCATGACTGGTTTATATTTGAATTTTTATTTGTAAACTTATATATATTAGAGTTAAGCCTGATGAGATCTAATTGAAAACAATATTGTTCGCTTAAATGTGTTGTTCTAAATTTTACTATGGGAATATTTAATATATTGAAATCTCGTGGGGATCCTGTTTTTGAATTGTTAGGAACAAATTTTTTATTGTATTTGATACTATATAGTATTTTAGGGATCCTGCTGATTAAGCTAATCGTCAGTTCTTAAAGTCTGCGACAGTTTCTTAGTGTCTATCTCCCAACTTGTAGGTTAAGTCTGCACCTTGATGATTCTCGAGACTTAGGCTTTGGACTGTGTTAATGTTGGATTTGCCTACAATTATCTGAATATATAGGGATTACTGTGCTCTGTGATGTGGTATTTGTGTGGAAACTATTTCGATAACCATACGCACTAGTTATTATTTAATTCAATTTTGACTTTCCCGTTGATTGATTGGTCCGTAGTGTTCGGCGTCAATAGGTCAGTACGCATATACCTTGCTCTTTAGTGGATTAGAATAAATTTGTGAATGTAATGTACATGTTTATTTTTTCTTTCTGCAGATAATCCTAATCATACCTACATGATACCTATGGCCACAAATGTTGCGGAGCCGTCATGGAATAGAGACCTGTTTTTGGCCGAAAATCCTCAAAGAATGCATTGGTAGTGACAATTTTAATTGGTGGAACGAAAGTCCAACAGATTACATTTACAAAAGCAGTCACTACACAATGCAGTCGTATATGTAGATTTGATAAATATACTGTAGAATAATTAAAAGTAAGACATGTACAGCTGTTTTGCTACCGGCTTGTTACAAAAAGCTGGGATATAGCAGCCCTCTTACAGCAAAATTTAACTCGCAGATATAACTTTCAAAATTCTTAACACCTGGATAAAATGCTTTATATTTCTTAACAAAATCGAAAAATTACCTTTATTATATTCAATCTGCTTTATAAATACAATTATTGGAAGTAAAAATTTGGTAGTTTATTTTAAAAAATATGATAATCAACATTCATACGTAACAAGGGAATTTCCTGACTTTGTGGTCATGAAATAAAACGTTTCACGTATATGTGGTTACAGTTACGAATTGTTGTTATAAAGGGTGATGAAATAGTGAATTTCTTTCAGTTTAACCAGCCAACTTTGCTATTTGAATTATAATTCAGATAGTTGCGGTAACCTTGATACAAAAGAGCACAGTGAATGGACACGTCGAAACAGAGACGTCACGTGGCTAAGGTTTGGCTCACTAGTTTACACCAAAATTAATGTCTTTATAAAATCGCAGGTGTTCGGAACAATATCACGCTTATGTGAGTGAGTTAACGCATGCAACTTTGAGCGATGCGGAATTTATGCTGTCAGGATGATTCGATTGGTCAGCGCATTTAGTTATGAAGTTTTCAGAACTAAAAGTATCCATACACATTTCCATCTTTGCCAAAAGTGTTTTCAATATGTATAATATATAAACGCATAAATTAGGAGCCTACACTCTGATAGATTCAGCGGTTGATTCAGTGAGAAAGTATCACGGGGTGTTAGTTCCTTTTTACGCAACGTACAAAGCGAGAAATAGACATTTGATGACAATGTTGACTTCCCCACATTCCTCTACCGAAATTTCAATTAAACGCTTTAAGCCTACTTTTAAGTTAAATGTGAATTCTGAGCTGCAAATATTCAAAACGTCTGTGTTGTATCTGACACCTGGTTAAGTATTTATGAAATTCGGTCATGTTTAAATGGTGTACATGGCAGGTTTTACAGTAGAAATAAACGATGAGCTAGTTTGTTGTTTCATTTACCTCCAGTCCGTGTGACATATTCACATTGAGTATACTTGTCGCTAATATATGTGTGCATATTCGAATGTAATCCGGCAGGCTGAGTTAGCCAGAATTCCTCCCTTATATGAAAAACGTTTGTTGGTCGTTGATGGCATTTGACCTCCGGTTTTGTGATATCAGCTCTGTAGGGGAAAATGTTTTGCTGACATTAACACTATATTCGAAATTTCTTTTTGTAAAGGCTAGGTTAGCTGATAAGTATATAAGTGGATGGATGATGCTATGTTACACAGGTTAACACCAAGCCAGCTATGGTGCCTCCGCTCTCTCGAGAGGGATCAGGAGAGACTGACCCCAACAACTGTACATCTAAACTTAACTTGCGGAGGTAAGACATAGAAGTCGAGGTGAGAGACTAAAGAACAACACATATAATGTCTTAGAACCACGTTTCCAAATTCGTATTGGAGCATATAATGTCTGAACCCTTTTCGTTTAAGAGGACAACAGGCAAAAACTACAGCATCTCGAGCAGTGGATGTATATTGTGTTTCGTAGACACGCATACAAGACCCAGGTTTAGTTATTCACATAATCACCCCTGTTCGGTAGGAAGGATCTGCGCCTTCTTGGTGTCGGGAGATTCTTCGGTGTACAGATAGCGTTGAGTTCTAAAACGAAGAAATCCCTGTACGCAAATCTTGCTTCTGTTTAAGAAACTAATTCATATGAGATGAAAAGTAAACTAAATGACATTCAACTAGCGAATGACGAAACAATGGTTAGTTTTGATGTAACTAGTCTTCATACTAATATACCAGTCAATATGGCCTTAGAAGCGGTTAAAAGAGAACTAACTTCTGATTCCGAACTTAGTCATAGGACAAAGCTGCCCATTGAAGAAATTATTTTAGGGATTCAGGTATGCCTCACATCTACTAACTTCAAGTTCCAAGGCAAAATATATAGACAGAGAGAAGGTGTAGCAACGGGATCACCATTATCCCCTATTGTAGCAGACATTTTTATGGAGAGCTGGGAAAATAGTGTCCTCAATACATTCAATCCTACTCCAAAAATATAGTGGAGATATGTGGATGACACTTTCACAGTGTTAAAAACAGGACATTTCTCTAGCTTCTTAACACATTTAAACTCACAGGTAGAAGGATTAAAATTCACATTTGAATCAGAAAATGAACAAGGAGAATCAGCTATGTTAGATTGTAAAATAAAACGAATAGAAGAAGGCAAACTACACACTAGTGTTTATAAAAAACCAACGCATTCTAATACATATCTAGACTTTAATTCGTCTCATCTGTTAACTGTTAAGGCAGGCTTAGTTAAGTGTCTAACAAACCGAGCCATAGCACCAAGTAGGACAAGAAAAGATCTAAACGACGAAATAAAACAGATAGAAGAAGCGTTGATGTTGAATAACTATCCTATGAAATTCATTAGAAATAACACCCAGTACGCAAAGCTCAAAGGGCATAAAACTATGCCTGCTATCCCGAAAGAAACGCCATCATACAAAATCGAAGTCCTTCACATAGTCCCATCGTCTTCAACACCTACAGTTACGAACAAAAAAAGAACGGAAGTACACAAGACTTCCTACAATCCTAAGTAGGATTCAAAACCAGCTACAGACACAAGAGAGGCAAAAGTTACAAAAATAACATTAGGATAAAATATTAACACCCGCAAGTAACTTCTCTGAAAGAAGAATACGGTACTACTGATTTGACGAGCATCGCTTAGTATCATTGATACGAATATGACACATCTATGCTGTAACCCACTCATCAACTGACTCACACAAACTTCTTGCCTGTCTACACGGTCTCGAATTACAACGTGAAGCGAAAGTTGAAAATACAGTCTTCCTACCAGTTACATAAGTCAATTTAATTATCTAATCAGTGATAAGTGATACAACCATGATGACGCTCTCCCTACAGTGATCTGTCTATATTTGATAAGCCCTAATCGACTGATTTCCGACGGAATCTCAACACGGATACAAAAGGCTGGTGTGGCATTCGACAACGTACGTCATCTCTGGTGTACACGTGATATCCGGTTATCGGTGAAAAGACGAGTTCACTACAAAGCAGTTGGTTCTCTCCTTCTTTATGGCTGACTGTCAGACATGGCCATTGACAGTCGCAGATATGATGAAGAGGCTAGCTGTCTTTGAGCACAGAGGTTTGCCTTCTATCTCTCGTGTTAGTTAAGAGTGGTATAATATGGTGACACATATTGAGGTTAGGCGTAGAGTCAGTGCTAGGTGAGGAAGGGGAGTCGATAGATGAAGTTGTCAGTCAAGCTGCACCGATTGACACGGCTAGGACACGTGTTGCGCATGACGAGCCACCTCACCGCCTGCCTTCCTCCACGAGCAATGTCACCTGACACAGGATTAGGTTGGAAAGGAGTTCTCGGTGGTCAAACCAAAACCTGGCATCAATCCATGCAGTCTTTCACTGTTGGTGTTTCAGTCACGTAGCCAGGTATAGACTGACTGGTTGGGGACCTCGCGATGATAAGTACCAATGTCTGCAGACTATTGGTGCTATGACTGAAAATCCTTCTCGATGGCTCAGATGCATTCACGCTTTGTCATCTCCCATTTACACTGAACCCTCGTGTCTTCCCATCTTACTATTCCCTCTCGCCTACATTTCTGCTCATTAGAGTTCCTTTGAATTTCTTCCTTCTCTCTACTCTCTACCTTTGTGTGATACATGCAGTGTGTCAACTTGAATTGCTGCACTTCTCTGCAAACTTCTATGCTGAAACTCAAACGGTCATTCATTCAGGCATTGATTATTCATTCATTCATTCATTCAGTCAGTCAGTCAGTCAGTCAGTCAGTCATTCAGCCAGCCTGCCACTCAGTCAGGCAGTCAGCACTGCTCAAACAGAAGTAGTCAACAGTTTGAATGAAGTGTGGCCAGCGTCATTCATGCATAGCTATCTCACGTGTTATTGAATAAATCCGCCTCTCTATCTAGAAATCTTCACTCTGAACAAAGTAACAATATAATGCAATATTACCCCCCATCAACTAACTTCTCTGAAAGAAGAATACGGTGCTACTGATTTGACGAGCATCGCTTAGTATCATTGATACGAATATGACACATCTATGCTGTAACCCACTCATCAACTGACTCACACAAACTTCTTGCCTGTCTACACGGTCTCGAATTACAACGTGAAGCGAAAGTTGAAAATACAGTCTTCCTACCAGTTACATAAGTCAATTTAATTATCTAATCAGTGATAAGTGATACAACCATGATGACGCTCTCCCTACAGTGATCTGTCTATATTTGATAAGCCCTAATCGACTGATTTCCGACGGAATCTCAACACGGATACAAAAGGCTGGTGTGGCATTCGACAACGTACGTCATCTCTGGTGTACACGTGATATCCGGTTATCGGTGAAAAGACGAGTTCACTACAAAGCAGTTGGTTCTCTCCTTCTTTATGGCTGACTGTCAGACATGGCCATTGACAGTCGCAGATATGATGAAGAGGCTAGCTGTCTTTGAGCACAGAGGTTTGCCTTCTATCTCTCGTGTTAGTTAAGAGTGGTATAATATGGTGACACATATTGAGGTTAGGCGTAGAGTCAGTGCTAGGTGAGGAAGGGGAGTCGATAGATGAAGTTGTCAGTCAAGCTGCACCGATTGACACGGCTAGGACACGTGTTGCGCATGACGAGCCATCTCACCGCCTGCCTTCCTCCACGAGCAATGTCACCTGACACAGGATTAGGTTGGAAAGGAGTTCTCGGTGGTCAAACCAAAACCTGGCATCAATCCATGCAGTCTTTCACTGTTGGTGTTTCAGTCACGTAGCCAGGTATAGACTGACTGGTTGGGGACCTCGAGATGATAAGTACCAATGTCTGCAGACTATTGGTGCTATGACTGAAAATCCTTCTCGATGGCTCAGATGCATTCACGCTTTGTCATCTCCCATTTACACTGAACCCTCGTGTCTTCCCATCTTACTATTCCCTCTCGCCTACATTTCTGCTCATTAGAGTTCCTTTGAATTTCTTCCTTCTCTCTACTCTCTACCTTTGTGTGATACATACAGTGTGTCAACTTGAATTGCTGCACTTCTCTGCAAACTTCTATGCTGAAACTCAAA